CGCGGGGCTCTGAGCCTGAAGTGATGGGAGGTCAGCAGAACCCGCGCGTCCTGGGGCCCGGACCTCACGCCCCCGTCCCGTCCCGCGTACCCTTCTCCTCCCCAGGCCAGGCCCGGCCGGGACTCACGCGCAGGCCAGACAGCGATGCAGGCCGCCCCCTGGCAGGTCGGGGTCGGGCTCGGAGCCCAGGTCTGGACGAGACCGTGCGGGAACCTGGGGCCGCAGCTCGCGGTGAATTTCGTCCAGGTCCGGCTGCCGCCGCTTCGCCTTCATCTGGCGGGCCAGGGAGTGGGTTCGGTGAGCACCCGTCCGACGGGAGCGACCCATGGCCAGTGACGGCGGGGCCAGGGGGCCCAGAGCCGGGTCAGGGGCACACGTGCGGGCGCTTCCGGATTGCTGGATGACGTCAAGGACGCCCGGGGGCGGAGCAGGTTCGTCCAGACTGCCTCAGATGACGTCACTCGCGCAGGCCGCTCCTTGAGCGCCCCCAGGCGGCGGTCGACGTCAGAGACGGAGCGCCGGGCGGGGCCCAAAGCTGCGGCTTCCGCCCAGGGCGAGGCTTTGGCCCGGGAGCGGCTGGGTGGTGCGGGCCCCCGGGGGATTCCGCCCCCTGACCTCCGGTCCCTTCTGGCCCGACCTGTCTCTACTCCATCCCTTGGCACTATCACCCCATGCTTGTTCCCAGATCTTAGACTCCACGGTCAGCAAGGGGAGGGAATATGCCTTGAGCATGTCTGGGAGGCACTGAAAAATGTCTGTGATGTGAATAAATGAATTAATGAGTGTGAGTGAGTAAGTTTGGGATCTGGCCCCCACAGGGACTCCTGAGATACCTCCAGTTCCTGACAAAGCGCTCACCACTTCTCACCGTTCCCCAGTTATTCCCTTGGGTCTCCGTCCTTCGTGCACCCCCTGTCAAATCCGTGAGCAAGGAGTGTTCTGCTCGGGCATCTCCTCAGACTGCACGGGGTCAGCAACTCTCACAAGAAGTGGAAGGGCTGGCAGAAGCACCTCTCATCTTTGCCCCCTTTCTCTGAGCCCTGGACTCCCTGGTGTGGGCTGGCAGCAAAGGCAGAGATACAGCCTAGGTATTTTGTGCTCAGAGTGGGGGGATGGCCAGAGAGCCTTTCTCCGTTCATTGGAGCCTGGTGCCTTCCTGGCTGACCAGAGGAGCTCAGCAATAATTCAGGGGCTCCAGCTCTTTGGAACCTGTTGCCAGGAAACAGGGAGACATGCACGTGCATCCCTGGGGAGAGGAATCGGTTTCCAGCCCAGACAAAGCAGAGAAATGTAAGCCCAGGGTGCCAGCCAGGGGCTTTGAGACCTCCCCACTCCAGTTCACAGTTGAGTGGGGACATAGGGCAGGCCCTGCTGAAGGCACAACTGGTATGGCTACAGTCACAGGGGCACCAGTGTGGGTCTTGGGCCCAAGGACTTTATAAATGGACTTTGTGAATGCAAGCAGATTTTTTTTGGAGCCATTCCAAGAGATCAAATTCAAGTACCCGTAGGGCCAGGAAGCGGGCCTCCGTGGAGAGAGATGTCTCCATTATTCTTGGCCAATATGGGTCAAGACGAGGGGCTGAGGCCACAGAAGCCAGCTCTGTCCTGTCTCCACCCCAGACTCCTCTGGATCAGCTCACCTGCCTGACAGTGTGCCAGCTGGGGAGGCTGGTGCATCTTTAATGAAGTCACCTGATCCCTGGGACAGGCTCTGGGCCTCACCAAGTTCCTGGAGCCAGACCCGCTGGGTGCCCACTGAGTCACTGCCTTCCTGAGCTTCGGTGCCAGGTCTGTTTTCCCTGCAGCCATGAACCAGGCCTTCTGGAAAACCTACAAGTCCAAAGTGTTACAGACCCTCAGTGGGGAATCTGAGGAAGACCTGGCAGAGGAGGTGGGTACCATCCATGTTTGCTGGGTGGGTCATGGGCAGAGAGAGCAGGAGTGAGATACAATGAAGAGCAAGGGACAGGCTCTGTGAGGGGAGGCACATTTGTGCAGAAACAATTGGCACCTTCAAGGATGACAAATGGCCTGGTGCCGAAAGCCAGGATATTTCAGGAAACTGAGGAAGAAGATTGGGGGGCCACGGGAAAAATGGTCATTGTCTCCCACGACAGACTCCATCTCCAAAGATGGCAGCCAAGGGCTGCCACATGGAAGAGACCAGGAGGCAGTAGCCACATGGGGCACATGCAGCTTGACACAACTTCCTAATGGGCAGAGCTAAGCAGAATTGGGATGGCTTGCCTGGAGAGGAAGTGAGGCCTATGGTCCTAGAAGTCGTGCTTGCCCTTAGAGGGTCACTGTTGCAGCATCAGATCAGAGCCAGACTTGGAGCATGTTTATTCTGACGTTTAAAAAAAATCAAAAAGGCTCTGACACTGGGAACGGTCTTACATCTAGAGGCTGTAATAAGTAGCAGTTTGTGCAAACAGATGTGGCAGGGGCAGGAACTAGTTCTATAGGGTGTGTGTGTGTGTGTGTGTGTGTGCATCTCCATCTTTGTGTCT